TCATGCTGGAGGCTTCTCCTGACTTACGTGTTTGCAGGGGATGACAAATCCACAATTGGCAGATTAGATGACAGGCTACTAGCTCAAGTTCCAAGAACCAGAGCCCAGATGAGAGAAAATCAGATGCAGGATCCAGAGTAAGGAATATCCTTGCCAGAGTATCCAAGTATATATGTTGGGTGCAGGCCATACACTCCCAAGGAAATTCTCCATATACCACACAGTACAGGTGTGACATGAGTGAGAGTGAGACTTGATTTGCATATTGTCTTTCACCAAATGAATAAATGAGACTTGGTTTCAGATCTATGCTCATAATTAAATACCAAACTATAAAACCAAACTCACTGTTGTGGAGTCAGTCCCAACTCATAGTGACCCCTTCTTGGGTTTCTGAGGCAGTATCTCTACAGAGGTAGATTGCCCAGTCTTCCTTCCGAGGAGTGGCTAGTGGATTTGAACTGCCAACCTTCTGGTTAGCAGTCAAATGCCTTAGGCACTACACTACCAGAGCTCCTATAATTAGGGACATATATATATATAAAGAAACTGAAACAATTTAAATGAGAGAAGAGGACAGATCATTAATTCATTCATTAATTCACACTCTTGAAAAAAATCTATGGAATGCACACTCTTTTGCAGCAGTAGGTTTTTACAAAGAAGCTGGATTATATGAAGAAAAAGGTGGCGCCAGGATTGGAGGAAGATGTACTAACAACCTGCAATACACAGATGACACAACCTTGCTTCCTGAAAGTGAAGATAACTTGAAGCATTTACTGATAAAGATCACAGACTACCGCCTTCAGTATGGATTACACCTCAACATAAAGAAAATGTTAATCCTCACAACTGATCAATAAGCAATATCTTGTTAAATGGAGAAAAGATTGAAGTTGTCAGGTATTTCATTTTACTTGGATCCACAGTCAACACCCATGGAAGCAGCGGTCAAGAAATTACATGACATATTGCACTGGGTAAATCTGCTGCAAAAGACCTTTTTTTTTTT